ATCACCCATTTCCTCTCTCCCCCATCCCCCATGCACCCTCAGTTTGTTCTCTGTATTTAAGAGTCTTTTATGGTTTGCCTCCCTCCCTCTCTGTTTGTAACTATTTTTTCCCCTTCCCTTCCCCCCATGGTCTTCTGTTACATTTCTCAAGATCTACAAAAAAAAAAAAAGAGAGAGAGAGAGAGAGAGAAAGAAGAAAAAAAGAAAAATAATTTATAAGTGAAACCAACAGTGTTCTTCTTCCACTTGAATCCAAGTATCTTTGTGAGTTATCATTTTCAGCTGTGATACCATAAAAACTCTTATTAAAGAAAGCTAATTTTGAAATGATAACTTCAAACAACAGTATCAGTGCTAAGCCAAGATTTTCAAATATAATTGGAATATTTATTAACATCACTCATTAAACATCATCATTATTATAAGACAGCCAAAAGGTATTATGAGTCATTAAAAACTAAAACAAAAATTATTCTATATATTCATTTTATTTTCACTTATCTTTTTAAAATTTCTATATGTGTACATTTATAATATATACAAATAGTACTAATACAATGTTAATGTAGATAATTTATGGAAAATAAATATATTAAGACAAAAAAAAGAATGAAATCTTGCCCTTTGCAGTGATGTGGATGGAACTACAATACATTATGCTAAGTGAAATAGGTCAGTCAGAGAAAGACAAATACCATATGATTTCACTCATATGTAGAAGTTAAGAAACAAAACATGAATATGGGGTGATGGAGAAAGAGAAAGAGAGAGGGAGGCAAACTATAATATAGTTTGTATAGAGAACAAACTGAGGGTTGCTAGAAGGGTGTTAGGTGAGGGGATGGGCTAGATGGGTGATGGGTATTAAGGAGGATGCTTATTGTGACGAGCACTAGGTGTTATATGTAAACGACAAGTCACTAAATTCTCCTGAAACTAATATTACACTATATGTTAACTAGAATTTAAATAAAAACTTGAAAAAATATATATATCCTTTGCAAATGGTCTTGATACTTGGCAGATAATCCATATGTTTGTATACTGCAGCTATGCCCTTAGGGGTTATTTTCTGGGGATGCTATGCATGTATAACATGTAATCCTTCTAAGCCATGAGCTCCTCAGAGAAATGTAGAGTTAAAGACTAGTGTGAATCAAGAGCTATACCAATGACTGTGCTGGGCTCTAACTAGTCACTCAGGAAAAAAATATACATATATGTCTATTTATTACTTAATTTTAAAATTTGACATTTTAAAGATGAGAGCAAATTTAAAATAAAAAGAATATGTTCCAGAGACTAAATAATTATCAATGCACACTTATATCCTCAACCTTGGAGATACAGGTAGAGAGTGCAGCAGCTGTTTTTTAATGTCTCCTTTTGTCATTTGTTTTGTAATTCAAACTTCGGTTTTTAAAAGGCTCCATTGTCTACATTAGGTCAGCAATGTAATCCTTGAGAAACATATCTATTCTATAAAACAATGAGCTTGATTATTTTTTTTCTACAGCACCTCCAGTTCAAGTCCTGGAGTCAGCCCATAGCCTCTCTGTATTGTATTCAGAAGTATTCTTCAAAGTGAAGAGGGAAAGGAGCAAGAGGAGGGCACATTAGTAAAATCTTCATTTGCATGTAATATATTTTTCTGCCATGAAAAGCTTTGTTATGAAGGCTGATACAAAATACCACTGAAAATAAAAATATCATTCCATATCATAATCACATCCTAAAACTCCACTGATCCATCAAACACTAAGACAAGACTTCATTGTATGTGAGCCTAGAAATTCATCTCCTGTTTCAGGAAAACCTCTCTTACCACAGAGGCACAGTGTTTAAGTCACCTTAACCAAGAAATCCAAAGGAGAGCAGTGAAGCAGACATGGGGTTCTAACTCCCTTGCAATAAGAACTCCTTTGCAATAAGTTAAACTTTAATGATCAATTTGCTCATTTGCAACTTCCCAATTATGCCAATTCAGGATTTGGGTCCTGGGATGCCCCCTGCCAGGGGCTGAGTGCTTCATGTTCCCTTCTTCCAGTGGCAGCTGCCTACAAACAGACCAAATCTAGAACCTACCTTCTCTGTTAAAATGAAGATTAGCAGGTGTTAAAGACATATTAGCAGGTAGGTGAGGGTCTCACCCAGATGTTAACAGAAGAAATTAAAGAATATTTTGGGCAGAAATTGTGCATCTCTGAAACATATCCTGTGACAGGAACAAACATTCCAAGTATTTGTCTTTTGTGGGAATCACTAGAATGTTCCTGCTCATATTCTAAATGAGGAGAGTATCCGTGATGGGACGTCTAAACAGAGACCCAAGATTATGGTGCTTACTGGAGCAAAGCAGCAAGGAAAAACATCCAAACTAAAAAGGCAGCTTACTCTGTAAACAGTAATTTTAAATTGACATTTGACTTCAGATAAGTTGAAACATCTGAGCCTGAATCCTATGCCAAATTAAAACATACATAAAAACCATACTTTGGGGTTGCAGACTTTTCAGAGATGGAGTGGTAATATAAGTATATTCTTTACACAGACCTGTTCCTAATCATGTATCTTCCATGTTTAAAACACTTCAGTTGTTTCCTTTTTCACTGTAGGACAAAGTCCAAGCCTCAGAATGGCAGGCAAAGCCTAATGATCCCACTCCTCCTGCCTCAAAATTCAGTTCTTGCCCCCTCTCCAAACCTGCTCTGGGCCACTCATAATACATGTCTCCCAGTTATCTTGTTTTCAGGCCTTTCCACCAACTATTCTGTACCCAAATTTCCAGATGATTCCTATATATTAGGGAGGCCTCTGTTTGGCCCTTTCTTCTGAGAAAACTTGCAGACTCCTAAAGGCATGGTTAGGTGCCTATTTTATTTTCCCCATACGCTGGGTACTTCCTCATGTGATGCAATGAGATATTTTAAGTGTCTGTTTACTTGTCTCTATCTACTAATAGGCCGTCAGCTTTATAAAGGCAGGAGACGGTTAATTTTGTTTATACTATCTCCTTAGCATACTACCCGCCTGTCAATAATCACTGCTTATTAATGAATAAATTAAGCTCTTATAACATTCTAGTTGATTTATGACCACAGTAGCTAAATGGTTAGTTTCATTTCAGGGAAATTCATGGAAGAAGAGAACTTGTCCTGTTCACTATACCCACAGCACTAATATCATACCAGACAATAGTAGATGTTCAATAAATACTTATTGAAGAAAAATTTGCAATACTGAGTAACCTTTAAAGTATAATACATTGACCTTGATATAGTGGTTAATATGTTATTAATTCTAATCTCTAACAAGAGTACTAAACAGTTACTGATCTGTTAAAATCATAATTACCTCGGAGGGGGATTACCATTGTTGTTATAGCAATCATTTCTGCTGTCAATATTAATGATTTTGCCTATTATACATCAAGAATTTTTCCCTCTCAAGTATTGTCCTGAGTAAATATTTTCTTTTTTTTTACCTTTTTGTCTATTTTGTAGAGAGAGAGAGAGAGCAGGAGTGGGAGAGAGGGGCAGAAAGAAAGAGACAGAGACAGAGAGAGAATTCTAACATAATCCCACAATCATGGTATCATGATCTGAGCCAAAAACCAAGAGTCAGACACTCAACTGACTGAGCCACCCAGGTGCCCCAATATTTTCTAGTCTATTAAGTGGTGTTTTCAGATTTGCATCTTTGATTCTCAGTAATATCTAGCGTCCTTAAAATATGTTATTTTTCAATTACATAAAAATGCTCCTTGGGGTGCCTGGGTGGCTCAGTTGGTTAAGCGTCCGACTTCAGCTCAGGTCATGATCTCATGGTTTGTGGGTTCAAGCCCCACGTCCAGCTCTGTCCCGAGAGCTAGCTCAGAGCCTGGAGCCTGCTTCAGATTCTGTATTTCCCTCTCTCTCTCTGACCCTCCCCTGCTCATGCTCTCTTTCTCTCTCTCAGAAATAAATGAAAAATTAAAAAAAAATTTTAATGCTTCTTGGGGCGCCTGGGTGGCTTAGTCGGTTAAGCGTCCGACTTTCGCTTAGGTCATGATCTCGCGGTTTGTGGGTTCGAGCCCCGCGTCGGGCTCTGTGCTGACTGCCAGCTCAGAACCTGGAGCCTGTTTCAGTCTGTGACACCCTCTCTCTCTGACCCTCCCCTGCTCACGCTGTCTCTCTCTCTCTCTCCTAGAAATAAATAAAAATATTAAAAAAAAAATTAATGTTTCTTGATTCCTACAATAGAAAGATGGTTGGGTTTCTATATTCCTCAAAGAGAAACACAAAAGAAGTTATTTGTACACATCTTCACCTAGAAACTTTTTGGAGAAAATCAAAACATCTAGCTAATTAGGATGATCGGATTTAGCACCACATTTAGGAGTGAGTGACCTTTTCCTCCTTTAAAGAAAGAGGAAGGCAACTAGTATTTGACTAGTCCGCTCCAGATAGTTAACTATTTGTCCTTAAAAATAACACTAGTCCACACACACATACACATCATTCAGTTATTACACATAGTGCAAACAATTTGCAAAGCTACTATAAATGACGAAAACACATGCCTCCCCAATCAAGGAGAGGTAAACAGAGTATGCTTAGATTTATGGCAATCATATCACACCCATATAAACAGTACTCTCCACCACTCCCTATCTCTATCACTACCATTGAAGTGAAAGAATCTCTCTTGCAGTCCTAAGTCAAGAAAATATATTGAGTCATAATGATTATTGTGCTACAAATTATATTACTATAAAAACACGCCCATGTTTTATTTTTAATAGAGTAAAAGAATGACAACAAAATTTATTTGGTATTAATTTCATATCTAGAGAAGTGTTTCAAGTTTGAGCCTCCTATGTTAAGAAAATTGCGCAAATTAGGAAGCTGGCAAGGTCTGCATATCTTCCTTGCCTCTCATGTAACACACTGCTCCTTGCCTCCACAGCTCCTCATTTGGGCCTGGCTTCTTAAAACTTTCTTTTCTCTGCTTGAACTCAGGAATCATCAGGCAAAGCCAGTACCATCAGAGGTGTCCCTTGAATGCCTTGGATTTGAGAAAACCCAGGCTTCTGGAAGTAATGACAGAGGAGCTGCAGCAAGAGACCCCTGTATGGTGGCCTGGAGAATATGGCATTTCCATTCACAAACCAAGCACCAGGGGAAGCAAGGTGAGAGGATAATAGTGGAGCATCTTACACTGGTGGCAAAAGAAGACTTTCAGGAAAAGTAGGGTAGGTGATACTGGCTCTCCAGTAGGTTACTCATCAGGTATTGTATGAGGAGCCCATATTCACATTCAAAGTCAGGGATTCAGGAAAACAAGCAAGAATAAATCAGGGTCCAAGGTCAAGGGGAAATGAAGGTGCCAATAAGGACATGAGAATAGAGCTGTGAAAACAAAGATCAAAGTAGAAGGAGCTTATCAAGCTGAGCTTGGGTTGATACTGGGTGACTGATGTTGCTGAGCCACCAAGTGTTAGTCTAAATGGTTCATGAGATCCTGGAAAAGGGTGTACTGGGCCCTGAGGCTTGTTTAGAGACACCAGACTCACAGAGGATGGGAAGGCAGAGTCTTGGAATTAATTTCTGAAACTTTCTCTGATCTTGTGATTTCCTTCAGAATTTCCTGCACCGGCCTCCTGGCTTTTTTATACATATAATTGATCCTTTCCATTTGTGTAATCTTAACCAAAGGATGCCCCTTTACCAGTTAAAATTGTCCCTCTCCATATCTCCAGAAGGCCCTCACAAGTCAAGGAGGAAGCAAGTTCTCAGCAAAATCAGCCGAGTGAGTAGAGGAGAATTTTGATGCTGTCCTGCCTCTGTTTCTCATAGTTTTGATCTCATACAGGATGGCAGCCAGAGTAGGAAAATACACTCAAGGAGAAAATATGTTGCACTGATAAAAGGTAAAAATGCTTGACTAAGTGTACTTAGGGCAGAAATAACCACAGCTGACTGCGCATCAACTATATATCACTGTCACTAAAAATAATATCATACCCACCCCCTCTTTCCACTTACCTGTCATTATCCTTGATCAGGCCTTGTTATTGCTAATTTGGATTCCTAGAGTTCTCTGTTAGACAATCCCACAGCAATTGATTTTTTTCCCTGCTCCAATCCTATCTATATACCAAAGCCACTGTGACTTTTGTCACTCTGCTATTCCATATATTTAAGTGGTTACTACTGCCTACCAAATTAAGTTCACTTTTCTTAATCTGACTTAAAAATGTTTGCAACATTACCTTCTACCAGTCAACCTGTACCCAAGGTATCCATGAACTTTTATTATTCTTAGTTTCCCAAATACATTTATCCCTTTCTCATATCAGGCCTTAGTCTTTGCTCTCTCCTGCTGAGCATCTCCTACCTCTATCTCTACCTGATAAAATCCTACCTATTCTTCTAAATGCTGCTTAACTATCTAAAGCATTCACTTTCAACCACAGACATTTCCTCACCTCTTCAACTTTCTGTAGCTCTCGATCTCTCATGCCAACTAGACTCATCACATTCTGCTAAATGAAGAGTTTTCTGTGTCCATTGCATATGGCTTGATCCTATTAATACTCACAAATATTTGTTGAAATCAAAAAAAGGAAGCATGATTCTTACATATATAGACATACACATATGAACCACACACAAACACTATTTCTTAATAGAGTACTATGCCTAATAAAGAAATTCAGAACTATTTTTTAAGTGACACTAGGCTTCCATAGAGAAAGTACAGAGATTCTAATCTAATAGAGACACAGCCACCATGCAAAGTGTACTTTCAGTTTTGTGAAGATTGACTTTAACCACCATCTTCTTGAAAAGACTGTCTACAAAATCTGCAAAGATTCTGCTTTCAGATTCTTTATGGAAATCACCATGTAGTGAAATGAGAGAAGAGAATTAAACTAATCAGGAAATCATAAAAATCATATTTTGGTCATTTAGTCATTCCGTTAAAATATATGGAAGCTGAACATATAGCCAGGAGCTTTTTTTCTTCTTTATCAAATTATGCAGTTAATTCAAAAAGAAATCTCCATAGCAAGATTTGTTTTGTTTCCTTAGGTTTCCTTAGTAGTTGTTTCATAAATAAGAGCATGGGTCAGGATAGGGATAAACATTAAAGCCCTCTTAACTTAGAAACACTGACCTCTGTCTTCTTGATATCCAAATAGTGCTGGGAGGGGAAATGACATATTCCACATGACTCTGAAAGTAAATATGATCAATATCTGAAATCCAAACTTGACATGGCTTTCAATTTTAATTGAAATCACTATAGTTTTCTTTCTTTTTTTATTATTCATAAATCTCTCTCCCAAAAAACAAAATACATACCCAAACCACTAATTTTGATTTTGCGACAGCAAAACAAGTTTTATAGTAAAAAGCCAAGAGCTAAGAGAATGAGATGGATAGGTATAGTTCTAATTCATCTGTGTAACCTTGGGTGAAATACCTTACCATTTAAGTATCCCATCTCCAGTCTATAAAATAAGGAAATAACCCCGTTACCTTACATATTTCATGAGGATTAGATGAAATAAATTAAGTAAAAGCATTTTGTAAATTAAGTACCAAAATCTCGGATGGCCCTGATGCCATTTCCCATTAACTGTGCAATGATCTCCATCCAGCACCTCTGCAGTTGGGCTAGCTGTCTCCCTATCCTCTTCACATATACCTGTTCTGACAGATTCTGTGGTTTTTTAGTCGTCCATACTTGTGAGGATGTCTGGTTCTTCCGGTCTGCCCAGCTGAGTTTTGCACTTTCTTCAGAGACTTCATTTGCCCATGAAACTTTCAACCCACTAGGATCTTTGTTTTCAGAATTCTTTGTACACTTATACCGTCAACCTTAAATAGGACATTAGTTTATGATTTTGTAGATTTCAGTTATTACAATTTATAAGTGTTGGTTCCACTAGAGTATGAATTTCTATGCATAAAGACAGCATCATATGCCTCTTTCATATAACTCAAAGTACCTAGCTCAGGGCTGAGTACTTCTTAAAAAGAATGAACTGCCTATTTCCCAACTTTCTTTTCCCTAAGTTACTGACTAAAGGACTCTTAGCCCCCTAACTTTTGACATCTAGTTAATCATAAAGTCCTCTCTGTTTTGTCTTCAAAATAAAGTCTCAAATATGCCCACTTTTCTCTTTCTTCTTTCTCATATCCAAATTTCATCAACAACACTTCAAAAACTCGTTTACCGCACCCTTACTTCAGCAATGGTTTTCAACTGTTACACAGAGCCAGAAAAATTCACTTTTAGAAATCCAGTTATGCCTGCTTTCTGCTTACAACCCTTAAATGTGGGTTGTGTTTTTTTTTTTCATTAAACTTTAAATAAAATCCCAATGACCAACAGTGGCCTCCAAGGCCACATATGATCTAACCCTCACTAACTTCTCCATCCTCACTGTGGGCCACTTTCCCCATGTCCCTTTATCCCAGGCACATGGCCTCCTCTAAGCCCCTCTCAGAGGCCATGGTCATTTGCCTTAAGACCTTTGCACATGTTGTTTCCCCTTCCTCAAAGTGTTCTTCCCTGACACTTCGCATAATCAGTTTCTTCTCTCCCTGTACAGAAGCATCACACTTGGTTTTTTCCCCAGTTCCTTCTCTTTAGAGAGGACTGTTTAGGCAATTCCATCTCATTCCCTGTTCATTTATTCCATCTTACTTATCATGATGGGTAATTTTGTTATTTGTTATTTTTTATTTACTTCTGTATTATTTCTCTTGTCAATAGATTGTAAGATGCATGAAGGAAGGAACCATGTATGTTTTTTCCATCATTATGTATTCACAGTACCTAGTACAGTTGTGTAGCACAATGAGCTCAAGTATTTGTTGAAGGAAAATTTAACAAGTGAAATTTGAGTATTTAATATATATATGCCAGGTGCTGGAAATCCAAAGTAAAATAATTCCAGGCTTATACCCCTAATTCCATGTTCAGTGATGTCATCATGTTGGTAGCTTAAATTTGGCCATGGCGAGGATATTACACAAGAGAAATCAGCAAATACTGCAAACCAGGGCTTCTCTCCATGCTACCCCTGCCCTGCATGACAGCCGTTTATAGGCATATCAGTCCAGATAGGAAAATGCATAATTATAAATACATGTGCAAAATGTTATGGGAGTTTTCAAGAAATAGTACTGGGAAGATTGAACATACATGTACAAAAGTGAAATTGGACCCTTACCTTACACCATAATGCAAAAATTAAAATGGATCAAAGACCTAAATGTAAGAACTAAAATTATAAAACTCTTAGAAGAAAACATAAGAGAATGGCTTTGTGCCATCATATTTGTTACTTTCTTGGCTAAAACACAAAAAATACAGGCAACAAAAAAAAATAGATAAAATCCATCAAAATTTAAAGCTTTCATGCATCAAAGTATACTATCAACAGAGGAAAAAGGCAATCTACAGAATGGGAGAAAATATTTGCAAATCATGTATCTGATAAGGTATCCACAATATGTAAGAACTCCTCCAACTCAATAGCAAAAAGCCAGATAACCCAGTTTAAACAGAGGCAAAAGACTCGAATGGACATTTCTCCAAATGTGGAGAAATAGCCAAAAAAGTACATGAAAAAATGCTCAGCATTACTAATCATTAGGGAAATGCAAATCAGTCAAACTCACAGTAAGATACCATACCACCAAACACAAATTAAAATGATTATTATTTTAAAAAAATAGAAAAAAACAATTTTTGGCAAAGATCTGGAATGGAACCCTTCTGCATTTCTGGTGGGAATATAAAGTGGTACAACTATTATGGAAAGCAGTATACCTGTTCCTCAAAACGGTCTTATTGTATGATCTGGCAATTCCATATCTGGGTATATATATTTTTTTTTCGGTCAACAGAATTAAATAACATCTGTTTATTTGAATTAATTGAATTTTATATACTATTTGAAACAAAATAAAATGTTGCTTGACATTTGCATACAATCAAATATTTAACCTGCAAGTTCACTTAAAATTACTTCATTGTATCAATAACAGAGAATTAATTACAAATAACAATAACAAATTTAAAATCTTATATTACTTGGAATGTGTTTGGAATTTAATGTCACTTACTTTGAAATAATTTATTGAACACTTT